TGAGGAAAAACAAGTGCTCAAGAACCAAATAATTTCAGGCTTGTTCCACCTGAATTAAAAAAATCATCATCTCAATAACAGGTTTGAAACACTGAACACTAATGATCAAAGACCTGATTAGCTGTGGGAAGACATCAAAGATATCATCCCTAAAGAGAGAAAAAAAATCATTCCAAAGAATAGAAAGAAAAGACCAACATGGATGTCAGAAGAGATTGAAAATTGCACTGGAGTACTGAAAGTTAAAACAAAGGGAAGAAATGCTTAAGTAAAAAGATGAACAAAAGATTTCAAAGGAGGGAGCTCTGGTGGCCTAGTGGCAAGAAGCTTTACTGCAATCCCAGAGGTATGTGGTTCAAATCCACCAGATGCTCTGCTGGAGAAGGAGGGACAATCTCCTCCTGCACCAGTCAGATCTCATGTGATGGTACACGCAAAAAAATAATAATAAAAAATAAAATATTTTTAAAAATATTTCAAAGGATAACTAAAGATGCAAAGAGCTGGAGTTGGAGTGCAGAAAAAGAATACCCTGTTCAGCATTTCATAAGTTAAAATAACAAATTCAAGCTAAGTTAAACAAATTCAAGCTTCTAGTTGAAATACTGAGAAAGACTGTGGGGAAAATTGTGAATGATCCTGGAAGCATCAAAGAATGGAGGGAACATAAATACTTTCAGATGTAACATAGGATTAGAAGCCAATGATGATGAAGGAAGTTGTTAAAGTTACAGTGAAGATAGTAGCAAAAAATAACGTCTGAGGAATTGATAGAATACCAAGTGACATGTTCAACTAACAGGCGTAGCCCTGGATGTGCTCACCAGTCTGTGACAGGAAATTTGTAAGATAGCTACCCAGTCAAGGGACAGACAGAGGTCCATCTTTGTTTCCATTCCCAAGAAAGATAATCCAACAGAATGTGGAAATGATCATTAATATTACATAAAAACAAAATATTGCTGAAGAACATTCAAAACAGCTAGACCAGTACATTGACAGAGAACTGCAAGTTTAGGCTTGGTTTAGAAGAGGCTGTGGAACCAGAAATACCAGTGATGTCAGACAGATCTTAGTTGAAAATAAAGAACATCAGAAGAATGTCTATTTGTGTTTTATTGACTATGCAAAGGCATTTGACTTGTAGATCAAAACAAACTATGGCTAATATTAAGAAGAATGGCAATTTCAGAACCCTTTAATATGCTTCTATAAAACATATACCTAATCTACCAGCATCTCCAAAGGAGAAACAAGGGTGCTCTGGTGGCTTAGTGGTAAAGATCTGCACCATCCCAAAGGGATGTGGTTCGAATCCATCAGCTGCTCTGCAGGAGAAAGATGGGCAATACTCCTGTCGGATTAAACTGCCTCTGAAAACCCACTGGAGGGTCAGCTATGGGTGGGATCTGACTTGACAGTACACAATAACTAGACTAAGAAGCTGTTGTCTGAATAGAGCAAGGGAAATGTGTGTGGTTTAGAATCAAGAAAGGTGTGCATCAAGGCTGTATCTTTTCTCCATATCTATTTAACCTGTAGGTCTTGCAATTTAAAAATTGTTAAAATTTTAAAAACTGGTTTTTCAGTCAACAATTTATATTTTGTTTTATATCATCAGTTGCAATACCAATACTAGTCAACCACAGCCTTCCCTGGGTTAATTTCCTTCCAAACTTTATTCCTTGGCAAATGCTACCCTTTTGATCTTGTATCGTTGACTTGTTACACGAAATACCTTTCTGCTGAGAGTGATTACCTTATAGTCGTTGTTATGTACTGTTGAGTAAGAAATGACTCATAGCTGACCATCTGGTAGGTTTTGTTATGTAGTAAATCACAAAGAACACTATCCATCCTTCTCTTGAGTAGCTGGTGGATTTGAACTACCAGCCTATAGGCTGACAGCCACCAGAGATCCCGTAGCTTATAGCTGTGAGCAGGAACCACTTCACAGCTGATCCTCTAGTGTGTTTTTAGAGGAAGTAAATCACATGGGAGGCTAATGCCCATCTTTCTCCCTCAGAGCAGATGGTGGATTTGAACCATGTGCCTACCTTTGTAGGCCCTCTATTTTAAATTGATATCAGATGTGCTGCTAACCCAAAGGCATGCGGCTCCAATCCACCAACTGCTCTACAGGGGAAAAAAAGGGGGGTCATCTCCTGGGATTGACGGCCTCTGAAAACCTGTTAAAGGGCCAGCTGAGTCGATATGACTCACTAGCACATGACCATCACGTTGGAGCATATGCATGTAAAATACAAATAGGATCTGGAAGACATTATTGTAGTGTCCAATTACCATTCATAGTATTTTAAAATAGTAGGCAAACTTGTAAGTTTTCTAAGGACAATACATTTACAGCTACATTCTAAATCAGGTATATCGAGCTTTGGTAGCCTAGTCTGCAGAGTTGGACATATAACCCGAATTATTTCCTTATCTGGAAAAAAAAAATCTAGTCAGTAATTATTTAAGAGTATGTTGCCTGTGCTTAGTGAAAATAAATGGACTAAAGAACTGATAAACTATTTTTTTTTCTGACAACAATCACAACAGAGAAATGACATTTAATTCCATGGTTTAAGATGGGATGTCATTAAAAACAAACCCTAGTACTTGTAATAGGATTAGCAGTACAGGAATAAAAATAAAACCTTTCAATGGTGACTTGAATTGGTTAAGTTTAATGTTGGAATGGCTACAGACTATTTCAAAATAAAGTTGCGTAGTGGAATGTACTTGGGGCGGTGGGAGGGGTGCGGGGGGATTGTGTACCAGGGAGGGAGTCTTTCTTTTACTTTTCAAAGAAAGGCATGAACTGGGGGGCGGGGGGAGAGGGCTGGGTGGGTAGAGAAGTGCAGCAATGAATGAATGGAAATCCAAGTTCTCTGTAAATGTTCATTAAAACTATTTTTTAAAAAAGATAACACAATTAAAAGAAATCTCTATAAAAAAAAAAGTCCTACAGCTTACTTTATGAAGTACGGTATTTAAGGGAATAAAAACTAAACAAAAACCTAATTTAGTACCTATATCCAGAGGGACAGAAGTTTTTAGATAGAATAACTATAGCTAGCAAGTCGCCTTAGAAAAACAGCAGAGGAAAGATCCCAAACCTACTCTCTTCCTCCAAAGAACACACCTTTGAATCACAACCCGCTGCTATTGGTAGATTCTGACTCAGTGACCTTTGTTTGGGTTTCTGAAGCTACAAATTTTTACAGAAAGAGACTGCTCATCTTTCTCCCACAGAATAGCTAGTGGAACTGAACTGCTGACCTTTCAGACAAGCACAGTATGAATATACACTATACATCCAAAGCAACAAGGTTAATATACACTAGCCCTAGAGCAGCAAAGTTAAACTGACAAAGCATTTATTTATACCATGTCTTAATGTTTTTCTACCTTTGTTTCACTGTAATTTTTTTCATTGTCACTTCGCCAAGGATTTTTTTTACCATTTTACCCTAATTGGCCCTTGTCCCATTAAATGTTTATAACACAGATATGTCTATCTACGTATACACTATACATACACACAAACATGCATCTCATACATAAAAGGAGTAAAAAAAATTCCCTCCCCTCAAAAAATCACAAACATCACAATAATGCACAATTTAACCAAAGAAAGGTTAATATCAACATATTTATTTTTCATTTTAAAAAATATGACTAAAAAGAAATTATACATATCAGCAGATATATCTGTAGGTTATTTATAAAATAGCTCCATATTCAACTACTCAGCTGTATTAAAATGTCTTTTCTAAAGGCAGGGAATGTTCTCAACTATAACCAGGTTCTTTGCACAGTAGTATAGGACTACAAAAAAACCATGTAATCTCATCAATAGGATAAATTAGGATTGCCATGTGACTTTTACATATTTTTGTCATAATACTAAACATTTTTACTATTGGTCATTAGAAAATATATAAGAAATGGGGGGTTCGCAACAAAGTATTTAGTAGAATGGTGTTGCTAACATTAGAGAATTAATTTCCTTGTAAAAAAAAAATAATCAATACCATGCATGGGGGAAAAAGTACCATGAATGTGCTTGTATTCTTTAATAACATGTAGTCCTAAGTTAGCGTCTTTTGTATATGTTTACAAATGTTCAGACTCTGAGTTTAGATTTTTATGCTGTCAGAGTTGTGAAATATCTTCAAGAGTCCCTTAAATGTGTTGTCATGCCCTCTAGCTCCCCAACATCAATTGCTCTGGGGAATATTCATCATTACCATTTTCCTAAATTACCTAAATTCCTAAATTTCCTAAATTATGGTTTCGTCTTCACTAAGTTCCCCTGGCTGCATGTTTACAGTTTCTAGAGCAGCAGCAGTGTGAACATTCCTATAAATCCCCTGTTGCTTCTTTAACTATTTATGTTTGATTCAAATTTCACTTCCCCTTTTCATGTCTTTACTGTATTTCCATCTTTGTTGACCAATTTTTTGTTATTTTTTTAAAAACATCACAATAATGACAAGGAGACAACACAACCATGTTTTTCTGTGTGTGAACTGAATAATCAATATTGTGATTCAATGTTGTGACCATCGATGACTCATGATGGGCATCCGTTATTAACACAGTGACCTAGGGCCTGAAGTTTTAGTAGTGAAGTCTGTACATTATGCAATTGCTCAGTTAACATGCCACTGTAACTGAAGTTTTAAACACTGTTGTTAGGAAACTGGTATTATTTCAACTGTGATAATAACTGAAGTTTGTACATATTCAGACTATACAAAGACTGCCTGTACTTTATAAACTACTTATTTATACTGACCCAGGCAAGTTTAAAGCTGATTGCTCACTTAAAATTTAAACCAAATAATTTGTTTTAAGCACCCTGAATGCACTTTGCTGTGATTTTCAAATCTGTTACTTGGTATTCAAGTTTGTAGTTTTACTATAGCTTTTAATTACAGAATTTTAAAATAAAGGCCCTTCTTTGAAGGATCTCATATTTGACATCACCTATTATCCTGCATGCTTATTATGAATAATTTCTCCTCCTTCTATTTCAATCTGCTCATACAGCCACTTGCGGTCGCAGCGGCATTCAGCTCCGCATTTGGTAGAACCACAGGCAGGACAAGCATAGAAACACCCTAAGCAGTCTTCATCAAGGCAGTCACAGAGGTCCATCCCACTGAAAATCAGGAGACCCTGGCTGTCATAGACCTTACTCTTTGCCGGTATCACTTGTCTGTGAAAGAAAGCACAATGAGTTACAGATCACAAATTGTAAGTAGGTAATGGAAACTTTCCAAAGGAGTAATACATTTCATATTAGAGGTTAGGACCTGGTGGAATGGTCTATAACTAACCAGACTCAAGGCTACACTCAAAGTGTGAAAAAATAACACCTAACTCTATAAAGGGTTTGAGGCAAATCCAAAGAACTCTTCAAAGTTCACTTAAAAAGCAATTCAACAAGGGAATTAAAAAAAAAGTTACCTAAAATATTTCTGTCAAAACCACTTACTTAAAAGAAAACAAAAAAACTATTAAAGTTGTCTTTTTATTAGCTGTCAATCTCTTTAGTGCTTTGTGAACACCATTTTACTTGCATCTTATCATGCTACAGAATTAGTTTTTAAGTTGCAATTAATCCATTTCTTATTCTTTAATAGATTCTACCTAAATAAATCTTGTCTAAAAATTCTGAAATGACAGAGTAAAAAAACTTATCAGATGGAATTAATTGCACATCTAGAAATGTTGACTGTATTTTAAAGCTATCATATTTTAAAGAAATGTTGACTGTATTTTAAAGCTGTATTAATACCTATCAATCTTTATTTTAGAGATACTAAATTTTAAAAATAATAGTCTAAGAAATTTCATTTCCCCATTCTCCTGACTGTACCACACTGCATTACTAATTTAGCTATGTAAAAACTAAAAAGGAACTTCCTATTTCCATGTAAGTTACTCTGTAACTGTCTTTCAGATCAAGTAGATTATATCATTCTATTTATGTTCCAGAGTCTCATCCTCAAAGCAGTATCTTGTTCATTTCATTGCTACTTTGATACTTTTTAAAAAATTATTATTTAACTGACATTTTAAGAATGGAACTTGGCTTTCCATTCATACATTGTTGCACATTTTCCTCCCTACTCCCCCTCCCAGTGTGCTTTTCTCTTTAAAAAGATTCTTTCATTGTTGCAATTTCCTCCCTCTCCTCTGCTTTTAAAAAGAGCTTAAGGAGATCACTTCATTTTATGAGAAAAAGAGGCCAAATCATCCAGCTTAAAATATCAGCCCCACAATTCAATACTAATGAGAAGTAAAGAGGAGAAGGGGTGAGCTAACAAATACCTTAAATAACACATAGCCTACCTGTCTGAACCAGTTGATGCATTTTTAGTAAGCCTTCTTTTTTCTCTTTTAGCAGTTTCTGGGGCAAATTCCGTTTGTTTTCCTGGGTTTGCAAATTGTAATGACCTCAAAGCTTTAGCAGTTCTTCCCTGAATAAAGGTTAAAATAAAGCAAACATCTTGACATCAGATCATAAAGAAATTAATGTTTAGAAACTATTCATTCAATCTGCATGCTATAATCTTGACCATAAGAAAGAATAACTACAAACCAAATGCAAGCAACATTTTAAAAGCTTCTGGGCCACTTCAAAATTCACTAATTTATTAAGAACTGGTTTTGGGTCTTTGGAATAGAAGAGAGGACAGGCATAGTGGTCATTTTAATGACTGCTGTTAGCATAGGAAAAAGGCATCAAACTGCCTAAACCAAAAACTCCCCAACCTAGTGGTATCTAATTGAAGCTCCTAATACAGGTCCAGAGTCCTTGATGAAGCCATTATTATTATATTTTTAATATATATTTAAAAGCAGAGAAGTCATGTGGTATCTGATCCTGACAAGGAAGAAAAATCTTTATAAAAGGCTCAAGAAAATGATGGTGTCTAAGGGGATAGGCTATTAGAGTGGAAAAATGTTTATGTGACATATTCCACAAAAACAATGGGAAGGAAAGGTGATAGCATTTAAAGTGACTGTAACATCAAGTACCTATAGTACAAATTGCACTGGTCCTGGAGATTTGCTCTCAGGGGAGTAGAAAATGGAAACAC